GAATGCTTTAGCTGGCTGAGAGCGCTTCTGGAAGTTACAAGTGACACAGCTCCACAATTTCCCCCTGGCAACCGATTTCTGACAAGCTGCCACAGATTGTATTGCTTCGTAATTTTTGAGATTAATCTCTCTTCTTTTTTGTAGTCACCCTTGGATGTTGCATCACACGGGGTGAATCTAGTCTGTAAAGCCATTAGAGGCAAGGTGATTAATCCAGTTCGGGAGCCAGGAGAAGGCTTCTTTTTCTCATTGGTTTTTATGATAGATGCTTATCTCAGAATATTACTTAGGCACCTGATTAGCTGGCTGTTCTTGTGTAACAAATCCATTTCATGAGAAGTAAACTGCAGTAAATGATTAACATAATCTTCTTCACTAATGACTAGGGGTTTTTAATTTAATGAGTCAGTTCTGAAAGTCTGAAGGGGAAACAGGGACGCTTTTTATTTTCTTTTTACATTATCACAGTGCAATCATTTGTATATAGAAGCCCAGTGTTGTTTCTCAAAGCAGCCCTATCAAACATGTGGTACGTGTGCTCGCTCATATGTATATAGCTCACTTGCAAAAGGAAATGTGTTGCACAGGTTTTAAAAAATTACTGTTATGGTCATGATTAATGATTTTGTTATCCGAGCAGTGAAACCGTAAGACTTCGCAACTGCAATAGCAATCGCAGCGCTCTAGTACGTGTGGCACAAATTTCTCTAATTGAGCATTTGAGGGCATGTTGAAACAGAGTTTCTTACCGGACTCCCTGTTCCAACAACTGTAGTTTTGGGTTCATTTCTCTTATGTGGCTACTGGGCATGTTTTCTTCAATAGTTTTCCCTCAAAAACAAATATTGGAGCTGGATTGGTTTCAACAGGCTTTACAGGAAGACAGTGTTTCTCTGACAGACTGGTGGCTCGATGGTTTGGGACATGTTTACCACTGGTGAAATAGCCTGGCTCTGGAGACCGCGTCCTTTCTAGATGTATACCTGTAGGTGAGTATGTTGTATTTGGATGACCTGCAACAAACCTCTCATGTCTCCCCCTCTCCACCATCCTCCCCAAAATTTTCACTGCTATGCTGGTGGTAGAAGAGCCCAGCCAAGACCCAGTCTTGTCGTGGGGGACAGAAGTTGTTCCCTGCTTCCGTCACTTACAGTCTTGCCATCATTTGTTCGTAGTGGCAGTTGGCTGAAGATGAGAGTGCCTTTTCTTTGAGAACGTGCCTGACTTTCGCCAGTCACCAAGTCCAGGTTCGATCCCAGTGGAGTGGTACTGAGAGAACAGTACGCTTTTGAAGGCCTGAGCATCATCATGCCTTTGATCCTCTGTCACTTACTTTCTTCTGAGGGTTTCCATATGGCTTCTTGAACCACGTTTTAACTATGGGCTCTGTCAGAAGTACCTCCGTCCATTTGAAACTTATCTGAGCTTGTTCCAGTGAATGCCTCACGATCTTCTCTTCTGAAGGATACGAGAAGAATAATTTCTTCCTACTCACATTCCCGTGGGACTCATGATTCAGTGGACTGCTTCTCTTCCCATCTTCATGGTCCCTTCCATCATTTCTTTTCCAGGCTGGAGAGACCCAGGCTATTTAGTTAGCTGTTGTTGAGAAGCTGTTCCGTGTCCTCGATTATCCTGACCATGGCTCTGTGAGCTGGCCATGGTGGAAATACCCTTATTGACAGAGGGTGGAAGGGGGCCAGGCTGCAGACAGATTGGGGAAGCACAGCAGATAAATGCAATGCCTTGACAATCGTCTTTGTTGCTGCTGCCTTTTCTTTTTTTTCCTTTCATCTGTTGCTGAGCCACCAAGCTGACACTGTCACAAGGCTGACTGGTTTAATCCCAAGACATCTTTACTGAGCAGCAGTAGCTGGTTCAGAGTGCATCATTGTACATCTCAGATCAAGGTGTTTCCATCACTTTGCACTTTAGGGTTGTTAATATTATTTTTTTAAAGTATCAAGTCTCTCAGCATTATGAGATTCTTAAGCAAGTTTTCAGGGTCAGCTTTCATTTTTACTCCCTTGAATAACTTAAGTTTCATCAGAAAACCATGTCATCTTGTTCACCTCTCTCTTCAGATCACTGATGAGTATGCTCACCAGCACAGGTGAGGAGCCCCTGGGGTTCATTGGTGACCTTCTGCTTGGGAGGAGGGTATTTTCTACCTTCTTTTCCCCAGTCTTCAAACTATTCATTCCAGTGTGTCAAGATCCATCTTTCTTCTCCTGGAGAAGTTTAAAGCTTCAATGAGAGACCTTGTTGGAAAGTAAGAGCGCTTATCCCAGCCGATGGTCAGCAAGGTAACCCTGCAAACACTCTGATTGTCAACCAGTTGCCTTTGGCATCACGCTCCAGGAGGCAGCGTGAACTTTTTTACGGACGAGTGAGCAGAGACCTGGTCTTGGATAGCTTGCTTTTCTCCCTTTCTGGGTGCTTAGAGTAAGTGTTTGTGTTGGCAAACTGCCCCTCTAATCTGAGGACATTGAACGTGGAAATGCAGCAATTTTTAATAAGGTGAAAGCAGAGGCCAGAGCCGCAGCCTCTGTGGTATGCTGCAAACAGGTTTTGTAGCCATGTCAACACATGTGGAGGAGAGGCTCGGTTGCCCTGCCGGGTCTGAAGGAGAATAAGGTGTGGAGGAAAGCAAGGGTAGATAAGAATCGGGCAAGATAAAAATCAGTACAGCCTCTTTTCCAATTGCCTGTTGCAGCAATACTGCCTTCCCCAAGAGGCAGCAAATAGCACGCTGCTTGGAGGGCTGGTTATAGCTCCCAGCTGCCCCGCTGAGATTATCTAGCAGTTATATCCCGTTTGGGATTTTTATTTTCATCTAGGAGGGTGAGGGGGTTGCAGGCCAGTATGTGCAACCTCCTCCAGTTGGGTAGTTTTCCCAGGCCTCGTTATTTTGACCATGAGCACCCAGGGTGTTTTTGGAGGGTATCCATGAAAGGCTCGTCCCAGCAGGGCTCGGCTGTGGTTCTGGTTCTGGTGAAAGGTCCCGCTGGCTGGCACAGCACGGCACCGTGTTATGGCCCTGCCTCCTCTTTGGTTCATGCCAGTCAAAGTTTAACTTGTATGAGGCGGCTGTTGTGACTAAATCCTAACTCTTCTCAGGTTTTCCAAATAGGTTGGAAGCTTAATGTTACTATGAAGTACTTGCTTGTACAAGCTGCTCATTTTCTCTTGAAACGTCCCCAAAATGTGCTAGATATTGTAGGACCTAAAGTTACAGGCACAAGAATTAGTTTTGAAGGGTTTAAACTCCAGATTTGAAGTGTCTTTGTCTAGTAAGTTATGAAGACTAGGCTGATGAAACCACTTTTTAAAAAGAGCCTGAATATCAGTGCAGTTACATTTTACAGGTGGTGTTAACTATCTTAAGGGTTGTTCTGCTTCTCAGTACTTGTTTAAGAAAACCAACCAAAACAAACATACTCATTAAAAGTCTGTTCCTAATGGGTGGGTCAGCCATTCAAAACTCATCCTGCTTGTTGTACCTCTCGGATAACCCAGCCTGGCTTTACATCACACTGCAAACAGATCTGCGTATTTGCTTTCAACAAAGCAAGTTGCGAGTTCAGTGCTGTTAAGTGCTGTACTGGTTAAAGAGGATCAATGTCTATTTTGTGTTGTAATGCTTTAAGGTGTTCTCACCTTTGGACACAGTCTTGCAGAGCGTTGTTTTCAGAATAAACAAATATCCACAATGAACGTTCTTGTATTCTTGGAGTAAGAGACGTGTCTAGTGTGATTCATTGGAAAATAATATTTAGAGAGTGCATTCTTGACAAGGAGAGGAGGTTTTTCAGGTAAAACCAGTCTTCTCCCACTATCAATACAACTTTTCTCCGCTCTTGAGGTTGTGTCTCTAGCTGTTGCAACAAATGGAAACCTTTCCTTTGGATTTGTGGTAGCTGCAGCACATCTTGTTAGTTGGAGCGGGATGGAGACTTTACTTAGTTCAAAGCAGCAATATTTTAGGCATGTACAATGTTACAGCTCTTCTGATCGTGCTTAGAGGCTCTTTTTCCTGCTCCTGATCTGTTAGTGCCTTTAACAACTGTTCTCTGATATTCAGGGTAATATGAAAAAGCCCAACCAATCTGTGAAAAGAGTTAATGGGCAAAATCCTGACTGTGTGGGTATTGTATGGAAACTATTTTAACCAAGGAAGGGCTATGGAGAGAGGATGGCTAAGACTGGTACCCCACTGTGTATTTCTCCAGGAGGAGAAATATGTATATTAAGAAGCTGCAGGTGCTGGCAACAGCATGTTATTGCGTGATATTTCACCCTTTCATGATCATTGTTGTGTAATGATGTAACTACTTAACCTAAAGAAGGTGCTCGCTGTGAACCAGAAATGTATAAAAACACAAGTAACGTTCATCACACAGTAGAGATTAGTGACAAAATTAGAGCGGGGGCGGGGTGGGGGGGCTGAAGTTTTTAAAGGAAAGCTGATTATTCGGGTAGCCTGTCATGAACTGGAATTCGGTGAGCGTTTGGAGAAGAACGTGTAAAGGGGTTTTTGGCTTAATGGCCTGCAGGTTAACAAAATTGCCAGTATTTTTGTAGTCTGGGCACACAGATGCTCTGTCTGAGTCTGCCCGCGGGACTTACACGATTGCATCCTTTGACGGAGTTTAACTTTGCTCTTCAGAGGTAGCTTCTAGTGTGAATGCTCATCATCCTGCAGTGCCCAGTATAACAAATAACATGCCAAGCAAATACAAGTGGTGTTGATGAATGTGTCACGGGTAGGCTATGGCATATTATTTTATCATGTGTGTGGCAACAGCTTTTATGGCCTGGCAACAGATCTGCCTCTTTCAAGTATTTTATGTTAAACTTTATGAAGCTGCCTACTGTCAGGTGTTGCCAATATTGCAGGTGTGCGCAAAGTCAGTGAGTGTCAAAACATCTCTTTTAATACTGCGTGCAGTAACAGCTGAATGTATGATGATTTTTCCCCCTCTTTCCGTTTAAAACAGAATGCTACAGATAGCTCTTCTAACTCCTCTCAAAAAAGGGAACAGCCTGTGCGAACTCTGGCTTCTCCTGCATCCTGCGAACATCGAAGAATTTGCACTCGTGGACACCTTCACGACCATTATAGCTCTGACCACTACCATCTAGAACAAGTAAGGTTTCTTCCCAGTGTTGCCACCTGTGTCTGCCATAGCTAAGACTGGTGTTTGGTTCTCCCCCAACATCCCTGAAAGACCTCTCCTTCCCTCTTTCCTTCTCAGTTAGCTTTAAATGACTTCCAATTATTTTTTTAAAAAAAAATGTTTACACTGTGATTTAATATGTTGCATTGTACCAGGTGCACAGACCATTGTATGTCTGTGACAGTTGTACTCATTCCTGAGCCAAAGGCTGAAATTCAGTGATGGGTCACAGTGAAGGGCATACAAAGGAAAGACAAAATTGTTAAATATTGGCTTTTCGCTAAACAAGGAGACAGTGATTGCTGATAGCGAAGTGAGCTTATTTATCTTTTCTCTCTCTTCATCTCCATCCCTATTTCCAGTCAGTACCGCGATCCTACCGACACGTCAACTTTCCAGACGATGACGAGGAGATAGTGCGCATCAATCCTCGGGAAAAGATTTGGATGACTGGATACGAGGACTATCGCCATGCTCCAGCACGAGGAAAGAACTTTGATCCTGATGACATGGACTCCTACGTACGTTTTGCCAAAAGCGAGGCCTCGAAACACGAATACACTTATCCTTACGTAGACAACTCGGACTTTGACCTGGGTGAAGATATCAAGGGTGCTGTGATAAAGACTCAACCTGTCAAATTCAAGCCCAGGCGGAAGGAAGATGGTGAGAGGTCGCGGTGCGTGTACTGCAGGGACATGTTCAACCACGAGGAGAACAAACGGGGTCAATGCCAGGATGCTCCAGACCGCGTCAAGACTTGCATCCGTCAAGTGAGCTGTATGTGGTGCGCAGACACTATGCTCTATCACTGTATGTCCGATCCAGAAGGAGACTATACAGATCCTTGCTCGTGTGACACCAGTGATGAAATGTTTTGCCTCCGGTGGATGGCCCTTATCGCCTTGTCTTTCATTGCTCCATGTATGTGCTGTTACTTGCCGCTTCGGGCTTGTTACCGCTGTGGGGTCATGTGCAGGTGCTGTGGTGGAAAACACAAAGCTGCTGGATGACTACAGATGCATTCAAAGTGTTACGTATTTCCTGTAGTTCAAGGAACACGTTGGTTTTGGAGCATTGAGATCACTCATTTTGATGCAGCCACTGTGCCCAACAGCATCCAGAAACCACCAGTTTGGATCACTTTACATTCGGTCGTCTGGGGCTCACACTGCATTGATTTGCTCATCAAGTGTTCTAACTAACTAACCTACAGCATAGACTTTTGTATTATTAATCTGTAATCAAAACAGACTGTCTTGTACATGTTTGGGTTTGTTTTTTTTCAGTTAAAATGAGTTGGAGAGAAGAACTGCTTTAAATGGTGGTGGATTGTAGAACATCTCCAGGTTGTGTCCGTCTTGCCTCTTGCCCGTGTTAGCAGGCTTTGGCATTTCTAGAAACGGGGTAGCGTAGTGAATGAAATCTCACTTAGAAGATATTTTAACTTGCCGTCAAGTTATTGTGCGTGTATAGAAGGTGTGCTAGTAACAAACTTGTACCACAACACAGTATTTCTGTCACTGGTTTTCTTTGGGTTTTTTGTTCTGTTTTCCAAAGCCAAAATAGCCATCTGAGCTGCAGTTTCTCTTCTAGAGTCCATCGTCATTTCTTTCAGCAAACATCTTAAATTATTTCTCTGTTCGTAAAGCTCTGTGAACAGAAAGCAAGGCTCAGTTACCATAGTCACATAACCATTGAGAATCTGGTAGTTCTCCTTACCTGTAATCATTTCAGACCGCTACTTGAAAGGGAAACTTAAATTTTAGGGTTTTCTTTTTTCCCTAAATAACATTGGAAAAATAAAACTGTATTTTCAGAGTTCTGCCCAAAAGAAAGGGAACTTCTTCCATGTAATGATCTGTGAATAAAACACTAAGGTTCCAGTTGAGGAAAATTGTTGTTATGCAAAGAATTACTAACAATGCAATGTCAGAAGCACTATTATGGCAATTCTGGGGAAATGCTGCATTCAGTGGTGGATTATGTGGAAATTCGTATTTGTTTGTTTTCTGTATAATACATGAGCATGAGAACATACACGTCCACGGTAGAAACTACATTTAGCAATCTAAACAGGTATTTAACATCAAAAGCCAGGATGTTAACCACCACTTTTATTTCCTGACCTGCGGTCCCAATCCTCCAGATGCTTACATATGTCGCGACGTATTGTACACGCAACCGGCGTTTCTGTGAGTCTGTGTGTAGGATTAAGCATGTGAGTCTTTGCAGGAGCCAGACCGAAGCGTCTCCCTGGCTTTCCCCTCCCCAGTTCACCACCCAGATTTACCAAGTGGATGCATAAGGTGCATACAGCAGGATAAGATTACTTTAAATTTTTTTTTTTTAAATGTCATGTTGTCTTGTGTACAAGGCTTGTAATTAGCTTGGAAAAAGAGTATTTTTCTAATATATTACAAGGAATAGCCAAATAATTTTTATTAAAAAAAAAAAAGATTTAGCGCAGTGAGCTCTAACTAGCATAGTACAATCTGAATACTTTGAGGCAGCTAGGGATTGGCTTGTCAAAGCTGGCACTGCTGTTCCTGCCATAATTTCTTTCTGCAGTAAATTGCCAGTGGGCGCATGTCCTTTCCCTCCCTCTATTGCACATTGACATCAGTCTTAAAAGAGAGGAATTTTTTTTTTATTAATTTGCCAAATAAATGTAAAAGGAATGCTTGCCATTCTTTCTTGGTGGAATGTCCCAACGGTTCCTCTGAGAGTTAATCACAGCTTTTTAGTCAACCGTGAATTAAGTATGCAATGTGCTTACACACTATAGAGTTTGGTAGGCTTAATTCGTAGCAGTTGCTGGGGATTTTTTTGGTTGGGAAAAAAAAAAGATATGAATGATAGTGGAAAAGGGATGGAGTGTTACACTCTGGGTGATGTGTCTGGGTTTGCTGAATGAAATATAAATATTTTGTGCCTAATAGCAGTTGACAAATCTCTCAATGGTGTCTAGTAAACATCAAGCCAGCCTCGGGAAAAAAAAATTAATGGAACAACCTTTTCCTTTTATTTCTGTTCTCAAAAGTTGTTTCATGTAAACAAACATCTGTAAGATCTTCTCTCTATAAAGCACAACACTACAAAAAGATCTTACAGCTTTTTGTCCGGTCTTGAAGTGCCCCTATTTATTTAAGTGAAGCAGACATACTCTAAGCCTTTCTGTATGTCTGGAAATAAAAGCTTAAAAAAAAAAAAAAAAAAAATCCCTCTTTTTTTTAAAAAATTTTTTTTCTTCCCCTCCTCCTTCCTCCCTCTTCTCTTGGGTTTTGTAATACTTGTAGATTTTGCTGCGTGTGTTATTTGGTTTGTGAAGGCAGTGGTGTAAGGGCACAATGATAGAAATGGGTATTTTTTTGTAAATATTTCTCCTTAATTTCCACACTGCTGCTGAACAGTGTGTAGCGTTCTCCCAGTCAGCTTTGCAATACTGACATCGATCATTTGAGAGAAATTATTCAGATTTTATTTTTGTATCTGTGGTAACAAAACATTAACCAAATTTTTTTTTTTCTGTTGTGGAAAGTTCTTTTTTTGTTTTTGTTTTTCCAAGCTATCGCTCACATTAACAAATTAAAGTGCCTGAAGCCTCATCATTATTGTATCTATATACTAAAAGTTAAAACCCTGTTGTATTGATTTTTATAAGCCTTTTTACCTCTGTGTAAAAAAAAAAAGTATATATACAAGTGTATGATGTACATTTTAGTTCTTAACTTCTTTTTTTATTGTTTCTAATATGTATGATCAGTGTAGCTATTGCTTTAAAATGTACCATGTAAATATAAATACATCATATCAAAATGATGCTGTTTATTGTCAAAATGACGCCGTTTATTGTTATTCAGCTGGCTGGAAAACGAGGGGGAAATGAAACAGAGGCATCTCCGGAGTTGCTTCCTCAAGACCTTAGGGTTTCTGAGGAAAAAAAATGATTTATTTTACATTTTTGGGTGGTGAACGCTATTGGCCTTGGGCATGGGCCGTTCTCGCCCACAGGCAGTGGGGAGCGTGAGGGCAGGTGTTTTTCAAGTGGTTTTTAGGTGGTTTTCAGGCGTTTTGCCCATTTTGGGGGAGGACAACCCTGAGGGCAGCCCGGCCTGGTGGCACTGTGCCTCGGCAGGCCCCGGCGGCCATGACGGCGGCCGAGGTTCCCTCCTGCTCTCTCTTTTCATCTCCCCGGGCCCTCATCTCATGCACTGCTTTGGGCCGAGCGGCAGGAGCCGTTTT